CTGCGGTCCTGTGCTTTGCCAAGCTTGTTCTAAGTAGGTGCTTTAGACCACTGAGCCATCTCACCAGCCCCAAGCATATAGTCTTAATAGGATATGCTGTGGAGGAAAAAAAAAAAAAAAAAAAGCCAGGGGATACAGGGATGTGTCACTGAGAACCTGAGATTTGAAGAAGGTGCCGTTAACCAAATGGATCCGTGAGGAAGCACTGTACCCAAGGGAACAGCTGGAGCGGGGACTGCTGGCAGGGGAGCCGGGCACAGAGCCCCGGACGGCCACGAGCAGGGAAGGAACTGAGGTCAGAGAGCGAGGGGCGGGCCCTTACCGCCCTGGAGTGAACCAGCTCCAGAGTCGGAGCAGAGGTGTCACGTGACCTGGCTTCTGCTGACTCCTGTGGTAAGACTAGAATGTGAGGGACAGAAGTGGAAGTATTACAGTAATCCGGCTTGCTTTGATGTCTGCTAGCACTGGAGGTGGTGAGAACTGGTCAGATAATAGAGGAGTCTTAAAGATAAACCAGCAGGATTTCCTTGCACAGTTATTAGACAAGAGATTAAGAGAGAAAGAATGGTGGAGCATGCCTGGTGGCTGAGGCAAAAGGAAGAGAAGAATTAATTTTAAAATGGGCAGGGGATGTAAAGCCAGGAAATGGTGGCATACACCTGAAATCTCAGCACTCAGGAGGCTGAGGCAGGAGGATTGCCAGGCTGCGCTACATAGTGAGTGAGAGGCTAGCCTGAGCTACATAGTGAGAGCCTGCCTTCAAAAAAAAAGGGGGGTTGTGTTGGGGTGTCGGGGTGTTGGGTAATGTAGTTCCTCACAGGCCCTGGCTTTAGTCACCAATAGTAATACATGCAGGTGTGCACAGGTGTGCATGCGTGCACACCACATACACACACACACACACACACAGGAGCGAGAGTTACAGAGACGTCAACAGTGACTCATCTGGTCTGAGCATTAAGTGTGGAGCTGTCGTTAATTTGGATGGAAAAGGCCACATGGAGTGGATTTGGCAGGAAACTAGGAATTCTGTTTTGTGTTTATCCACTTTTTCCCAGCATTGTACTGGAGATTGAACCGAGGGCTTTCATACTGAGCTACATTCATAGCCCTTTTTAATTTTTAAATTTCTTTTTTTTTTAATTTTAAGATACAGTCTTCCTAAATCATTACGTTGTCCAGGCTGGGCATGAACTTGTGATCCTCCTGCCTCAGCTTCCCAGAGTGTTGGGATTACAAGTGTGTAGCACCATGCCCAGCTGCACATGTTCAGTTTAAGGTATATATATATATATACCTTTTTTTTTTTTTTCGGTACTGGGGATTAAACTCAGGACCCTGCGCTTGCCAGGCAAGTGCTTATTCTACTGAGGTATCTCTGTGGCCCCAGTATGTGTTAATTACCTGAGGGAAAATGTTAACTAGGCAGTCTGTAATCCAAGCCACAGATACTTACCTGGAGGCTTTTAGCATAGAGATATCTTTATGATCAGATTTTTTTTCTTCTTCTTTTTGAGGCAGGTCAACTAACCAAGACTAGTCTGACTTTGAAGTTACTCTGTAGCCCCGGATTGGCCTTGAACTCAAGATCTTCTTGCCTCAGGTTCCCAAATGCTGGGGTGATAGATATATCCACTACTTCCAGCTTGCAATTTGATTATCTTTCAAGTTAGCAAATAGTGATAAGGTTACTGATCCAAAATTATGCTTTAAGAAAGA